CTATTGTCCGTTTAAAAGAGTTTGAAAGAGAGACTGTTTAAAACGACGTCGACGAGCGGAATTTGTAATTACCTTTGTAATCGAAGGTAAATTCGGTGAGAATTATAAATAAAACTCGTGGCTGGTTCACGCTCGAGCGGTCGGCTTATCGCCAGCGCGGTCGTTTCGCAGGAAACGACGACAGAGAAGGAGGAGCCATGCTTTCTAACTTTTGCCTTGTAAATCGCGCTCCATCGGAGGACGTGTGCGAACCGATAATATCAGACGGCCCCGTTTTACCGTCAGTGAGACCGAGCTGCCAGTTTTCGGATAAGCTAAAAACCGGCCGATTAAGGCAGAATTTCTGTTGGGATATCAACGACGTTGGCCAGTGGACCCCGATAATTTCCACATCCCTCCAACGCCGAATCGGAAACGAGGCAATATTTCATTCGATCGGAAAAATTCTCAACTGATTTGCTCGAGAGAAATGGCTGCTAACGATACCGTAAAGTATCCATAAAGATCCAATGACGATTCTAGAATATCTCTAGCTTCCTCGGCGCGACAGAGAGCTCGCGGTTCTTTTGTACGCGCTGACAGCTCCATACCCGTGACAGTGAAAGGACAGCCCCGGGGGGCCAACGTAAACGCTCGCATGTAAATCGTTCCACGGCCACTTTCTACGAATTCACTGAATTTTCTAAAGCGGACGACTCGCTCCGTGAGACGATCCTCGAGGAAGGAAGAAGAGTGGTGCGCGGCAGATAACGGTGTGTAACGAGGACATTCTTGAAAGTACTCGAAATGCAATCTCTGCAAACCCGACAAATTGTCTGAGAACAGTGTCGTTCTCAGAGCTGGGCTAGAGTGCCGGGCAAATGGGCACAATTAATTATAATTACCGGTGGTTAGTCGCTACAGGGGATACGTCCTGCCATCTCCCGTCTCTTATCTCTTATCTCTTCTCTGTTACGTAACAGGATCGTTCCAACGGTCAGAGGTTTTTCATTTTCCAACGCAACGCTCGGCCACAGTTCTTTCGAATCGCGTCGAATAGTTTTCGCCAAGGGCACCGCAGGCTAACCGGCGCGACGTTGAGCCTCTATTTTTAAATCAATGCCGAGTCAGTCAGTGGAAAAACGTGTCCGATTAAAATGACGGCCGCGTCGCCGAGCGACGATCCGAATTCCGCGGGGAGATCCGCGCGTTTAACATTAGCTACACGCGTCCATTTGGCACGGGGTGCATCGATCAGGTGCCCCGCCTAGTTGCAGGGAAACCAGCCCGATCATCCGCTGCGCAGGTTTCCAATCGTTCAATTATTCTAGCCGCGGCCAGCCGTTTCCGTTCAATGGACGGGAAGTGATATGAATTCGCTTCACTCTTGGAACCTCTTCAAGCTTCCATGCCCTTACGTCTAGCTGCTTCATGGAAACTTCTTCTTCTTCTTCTTCTTCTTCTTCTTCTTCTACGCGATCCGGATACTCGAGGCGCGCAGGGTCGAAAAACAGTCGTTCCTTCGTTTCGAATAACCAAGTGTCTGCCTCTACCTATTCCAAACGAACAACTACCCTGAGAACAGAATGCAGCGGCAAACGAAGCAACGATTAAGATGAATTCCTCTCCCGAAACGAGCGTCGGAAATCGAATGGAAGCTTGCGAAGGCAACTCGAAGGCAGCCCGTGGAGACGGTGCGCCGCGGTGGAACAGGTCTTTCCACACCGATCAAGCTACACATTGAATGGATAATCAAACGAGAACGAGAACGAGAAGGGGAACAAGGAGAAGGAGAGGGAGAGGAGAAGGGGGAGGTTCCACGGGAGGAGAGATAAGAGAAACTGGTCCGGTTTTCGATTTTCACGGGATCGCACGGTCCAACAATAAAAATCGACGGGGTGACTGCTTTTCTTGTTGGCATGCCGGCCGATAAGCGCGGTGTTAAGGTTACCTAAGCACTTTCTATGCCAGCCGATGCCCGATCAGGCCAATTCCGAATGGAAATTATGCCGGTCGGGGGCCGGGGGCCGGCTGTTACGTGGAATGTCGTTCCCCGATAATGAGGGACACTTCCAAGGATACCACGGTCTCCAGGCCGCCGCCGTTCGGTTTCATTGACCACGAATCTCATTCAGCGCAACCCCCGCTGATCGACTCCGCCGCTGAAAATATCGAAACGACCTGAAATTTCAATTGTACCATATTTCCGTTTCACCGAACTCTACAGCTCTTGTAAACACGACAATCCGTGAATCTTCATTTTGATCTAAAGAAGGCAGACTGCTCGGTCAAGGGAATCCAGGATTTGTCCCGGTCACCGTGTATCCGGTGCATCGGTGCATCGGTGCGCCCCTTTCAATGGCCATGCAAGAAGGCCAACGCCGAGACAGATTGAAACCGATTGTTCCTTATCCGGTATCGTTTCCTTCGCCGCGGATGGTTTTCCCTGGCTGGAGGTTCGCCTGGAATCGTGTCAACCGTGCTTAATTACCGTAGATGCGGCGTATAAAGCTGAATCGGGTCTTCCACGGGCTGGAACTCGTCGCGTCCACGCAAGCGACGCGCTCCCCTCGCCACTGGCAAGAAAAAACCAGCAGCGACTACCATAAAATGCCACGTGGATTTCTGTGCCGTGACAATGCCACCGTGGATCTTGATTAAAAACGGAAGAAAAACTTGATAATCCTTCAGCCTTGGCTCACGTACATCCAACGTACACGTGTACGAGAAACGTTCCAAGCTGTTCCCCGTTCCATGGAATCAACGTTGGTCTCGAACGACTCCGGCTCTCTGAACTCGAGAACCAAGGGTTAACAAAATATTCTGGTGTCGGTGGGACCAACAGTCGAATCAATGGGAAAGGAACGTTCCCGTTGGAATACGAAGATCAGGATCATCATCATTTTCTTCGTCTTCTGTGTCTTCCTAGCTGCGCATGCAAAGGCCTATTGTTGAATCTCGCCAGGCGATACGCCGGTGCCGAAAGCAGTACTCTCACGATCCGCGTTTCTCCCCGATGGGAAGCGATCTCTTCTCCTGTTCTTCCTCCGTTCTCCGTCTATCCTCGAAACTGAAAACTCGAAACTCGAAACTCTGTGCGCGACGCAAGCCTTTCGGAAGATTAATGCCCGATTGTCCCACGAGCGATATAACAGCTGAGTCTAGTCGCGAACTCGACTACCTCTTTACACCAATTCTTCGATTCCACGTGCTCGAGCAGGCGTGCTCGTGTTATCGATATACGTATATATATTAATAGGTGCTTCTCGTACCGTGTTTCCTCGGGTTAATCCGTGCGTACACGTACACCGTGTTCGCGTAAACGTCCGCAGCACGCGGATTTGAATACGGTCATTAGTCGCAGCTACCGTTAGAGATGGGGGGAAAGACAAGAGCAACGGTGCGAATCATAATTGCGATATCGCGTTGCGTAAGTTATTAGTCGGCTGTTGTTTCATTTTTATCTTCGGCGTTCCCAAAGCGAAACAAAGCGGTCGGTCCAACGAGGCCATCTTCTCAGCGAAGCTCGAGCTCCGTTCGATTCTCTAGCTCGGCCGGAAAGCGAAACAGTGTTCGGCGATCTTTATCCGAATTACGATAGCTGGAAAGTGACTTTCTTCGATCTACGGAGGAAAAGGGAGCGGAAAGCCAGAGGATGCGTGCTACCGCTCGTGATTTTCGTCCGGATGAAAGGAAGCTGCTTCGAGATCATCATCCGCGATCGTATCGTCATGGTAATACCCATTTGGGTAATGTTGAGGAAATTTATCGAGGATGTTGCACCCTCGTTGGCCAAGCGAAAGTCGTCGTTTTACAAGTGACTAGGTAGCAAAGTGAAATTTACATCCGGAACGCGGCGATGATGAGCTTCGGGCGTGGTGCGCTCGAATCTTGGATCTGTACGGTCCAAATACATATTCGACACGGAGCCGTTTTTCACGCGTGGACATTGGAAAGTTTGCTTGGAAAGTGCAGTCCGACGGTTGCGATTCGTCTAGAATTTACGTTGCCGATCAATCGTCCGGCGATACTTTTCTCTTTGAAATTCTTTGAAACTCTTCGAGATTCCTCGAAAAGAATTTCGGGAACTCGGAGATCCGCCTCGAAGCGTTCGACGAGGCGATCGAACGACCGCGACCGTTTTCCTCTCGCGCGAACCAAGAATCGATCGTTGGGAAATATAACGGGGGGAAAAGCAGATAAAAACGAAAGGAAAATGGAATCGTGCGAGTCGATGCAACGATCCTACTCGTAAAAGGGAATCGTTCCCTTTCGTAGAAACGATACACACCTACTTATCTGTGTCCCTCCTACGTGCTGTCACACGTGACTGCGTTCCACGATCACGCAGGACCACAAGATCCTTAGGGCGATCGTGGATCATTGAATCGGTGCACGCGTAGGAAGTTATTCCACTTGTTCACCGGTAAATCGAGCGACACCTCCGTCTACTTTTACCTCTGATCGACCTTCGCGACTCGCGACTCGTTTCCACCGCGAACGGTCCGTGCGTGATTTCATGGAAACGGGAAAACAATGCTTCTCCGATTCTTCCCTTATATGGTACAAAAAGTCTGCTGATTTCTTTATCGGCGATGAATCGGTCAACGCTACACTCGCTCCGAGATACGCCGCGTTGGATTATCTCGCGACGTTGTTCGAGCATTGTCTTTATCAGCTGCGCACCGCCGAACGTGTCGTTCGTTTTTCTTAAGGGAAAAGCGTCGAGCAGCATTCGATGCCGGATTTCGAAAAAACTTGCTCGACTCTCCTACCGAGAGAGTAGCCTACCGGAATACTTGGTTCGCGGACAGCTTAATAAACTTTCGATTCGCAGATTCCGTTCGGATCGTTGGGTGGATTCGTTCCCCCACGTCCCATCGAGTTCAAGGTTAATTGCGCCACAGGCACTGTAAGATTATACGAGTTTAAGTGGCGGTCAGCTTAGCCCCTCGCGCATATCGGAGATCAAACGTGGACTCGGTGAAACGATGAAATCGGACAGGAAAAGGGTGACTCACCTGTTCTTACGCGGCAGTGTCGTAACAGCCATGTCCAAGGACCCCTCGTACCGGTGATTATCCTTCTTGGATCGCCTGGGCAGCTCCGCGCAGACACCCTGCGTGAAGCTGTAGGTCCTGCGCTTCTTCAGGCACAACATCTTTGCTCGTCTGTGCTCGGAGATCTTCACTGTTACCTCATAACGAACCACTCAGACACTACCGGTTCTTTCACTGTTCGCCCGACAGCAGCACGGTGTCCCTCTGCCTCCTCGCATTTGGCCCTGTCGAGACACAGATACCTTTTACTTTTCACCCTTTACCTCTTACCTTTACCTTTACCTTTACCTTTACCTTTATCTTTATCTTTACCTTCACCGCCCGATTGTTAGGTCCGTGGGACGCAGGTTCTCAACGGTTAGGTATTGGGGATTATTTAGTAATTTTCTCTTAATATAAAAGCAACGTAGAAGCAATGTAGAAGCTATTAAAGCTATTTAGAAGCAACCCTGTGCGGCGAGTTTTCAAACATATTCCGAAATGACGAATAAATTCTCGAGGAGACGCGTCGTGCCGTTCGAGTACATGCACCGATAAGTGACCAACGGTCAGGGTACTTTACATTGAGAAAAACTACAGAGAGCGAACCAGTAATCGAGAAACAACACTCGAGCCAGAAGTTCCAGCTACGAATAAGATATCCTACCTAAATCACTGGTTGATCCCGCGGAGCGTACGGAAACGCTTCTGGAGGCATCGACACTAAATTCTCGATGCAATTTTCGACCCCACGGCCACTAAAACTGCGGTCCCCACACAAAATGCTCACAAAGACACCGCACGGATCGAGAAGATGTATCGATTGATAGGCAGCTAGGGACACCGACCCGACAGACACTCGCGTGATTTCAACGAGAGTAGTCCCGGCTGTTCAAAAGGATAGAGTTTCACCGGGCGGCGACCGTTTCAGCTGGACACTCGATAATCAACGTGCCAGTTTCGTTGACCAGTCTCGAATGTGTTTTCTAATGAAATTCGAGGCACGGCGAAGAGGGAGAGACCAGCGATCGGATGTGACTTGGAACCGAGCGGAACCGCGACTGCGGGCAAGTCGATTGTGATCCTCTGATACCGCGTACCCCGAGCCACAGGCGACGAGAGGCGAGAGAAACAGCGAGAAAGGGACAGAAACGGGCAGAGAGGGAGAAAGAGACAGAAAGAGGACAAGAGAGGAGAGAGAGAGGGAGAGAGAGGAAGAGAGAGACGTCAGGCTCGCAACCAAGTTATAACTGTACTAAAGGCTGCGCTCGGAATCTTTCCCCGGGCACGAGTGCGCCCGGTGATAATGACCCCCACGAAAATTACAGGGGCAACGCGACCGGTATCCCGGTCCCGCATGCATTTCGTCGGATTTCGTTCCCTGCTTTCTTTCCTTTTGCTCTTTGGATTGATTATTCGTCAGGTTCCACGTCGTTATGGCCCCCATCTTTGCGCGACAACGGAAGTAGCTTCGCAGGTTCATCCTAAGCAAAGTACTCGTAAAAATACTCTCGTAGAAAAGAAACGAGGAGAAAGAAAGAGAAAAGAACAAAGGCGAGCGAGGATAGATGATTTGCCAACGCAATCGAATTCGCAATCGAATTCGCAATCGAATTCGCATTCGACGGCGCGAGACCGTCGGGGAAACACCTTTCGAATTCTCCGAGTAAAAGCCGAATCGGCGCGGCGGCCTGTCGATCCGCGCGGATCGAATTTTCGAATAGAAAACCACGGGCCGGGAATAACAAAAGCGTGGCGGCGGGACCGCGTTCATGTAACCGGGCACTTTCGAACTCGCGATTTTCACCTGGCGTCCGACCGTCCGACCGTCCGAACGAGCAAACATGGGAGAATCCACGCCCCGCTCTCGGGATTGTGTAACAGCGCGCCGATAAAAATTAATTATGCGACTCGTCGACTGGCTCTGCGTGCGCTTTACGATCTAAACGCCGGGAATCGAACGTTGCCTCGTCGAGATTCCGTTCACGCAGAGCGAATCAAATTTATTTCTGGCCGAGTCCTCCGGGCTCGTCCCTTTGCTCGTCCCTTTGCTCGTCCCTTTGCTCGTCGTTCTCATTAACCTAACGATTCAATTCGATCCGATTGCTGCTCCCTCGTCTCGCGACGGATTTCAAACGACTGTTTGCCTCTTCGAAATCACTGATTCGCAATTACGCGGCCGAGAGGAGCGCGGCGCGATAATTCGATTCCCCGAAATTCTCCCCGTTTATTCGTTTTCGCTTACACGTCGGCATATCTTTCCTTCGAAAGTTCGAACTCGATCGAGCTTCGAATCGGTTTCGAAAAGTTGCCGAGTGAAACGAGACGGCTTCGAACGGCCCATCGAAATTCCTTTTCTCTGAAAATGCACACGCGAACGCGCGCGGTAATTCATCGTGTTTCCTGAATAAGAAACTTCGCACAGTGATAAACTCGTCCCGTACATGAATAAATTAATTATTTTTTACTGTTACTATTAAAACAGACATATTCCCACGCGTTACGCTGCTATTCTTCGCCTTCTTATTAGTGGCAATAACAACAAACGAGCTATAATTATCCGACGAGTTGTTTTCTTTAAGTGAAACGAGACTGTGCTTGTCAGGCCATCGGAGATGCTTGTGTCATTAGCTACTCGTAATAAGCTCGTGTGCTTCGACAGTGGCTCGCGACGGTGCTTTAATGGCGCTCGAATAACGTTTGAATAATAGTACCTGTTCACAGCTACTCTAGTCGACGATAGTCCACTGGTATCGTTCCAACAGCGTGAAACCAGCTCGACAAAAGTCCAGCAGTCCCACCGACCATTTCCACGAGCGTCCTTTCCATAATCGCACCGTAACGGGGTTACATAAAACAAACGAATTCTCCTTTTACACTCGAAGAAAAAGGAACGGCGCGCGCGGAGCCATCCTTTGCGCGTCGCGCTGCCAACTAACGAGTCAGGAAATTAAAGGCTGTTTACGGATGCCATCGTAACACGAATGATTCCGGACAATAGAATTGCTCGGGCGCCGATTGCTCAATTATCTTCGTGAATTTCCCTGGTTTATGCAGCGTTGAAAAATTATATAACGCCCGGCCGGCTTTCGTTCGCCTGGAAAGAAAAAAGGAAGACAAACGAGCACGAACGATGTGCGCGAGGTGCGCGGGTCGCGAGAGTCGCGCGCGCGATCAAGGGAAGTGCATTCCGCGTGAATTCTGCTGCCAACTCTATCCGTTAGACGTCCAATGAATAATTCATCGGAGGACGGGACGGGCCTGAATCATCGTCGTGTCGACGCCGCGACTGAAAATCATTCTCCTCGGTGATTATTGCTTGGCAATGCTGCGGCAACTTCCCTTCGACTAGTTTTCAAAATACAATTAGAAACGACCAAATAGAGGAAACGATAGAGGAAATGAACGAAAGAAAGATATTCCGAATCGTCTGTCAGAGTTTTGTTCCGCACCTCGGAAACTTGGAACGACGATACTTTGGTGCGAACACGCGAACAAATGTTGTTTGGTCGGTGGCTGTTGTAATCAGGAAACGGCGCCGGTGTTTGGCAATGAAATCAGAGTCTCGTGAGAGCCAATGTTCTACGGAGGATCGCGCGTACGGAAAATGTCGTGAATCGTTTCGTTGCTCGGCTCGAATAAAAGAAGCGAGATCAAAGCGCTTCGAGCAGCTGGCCAGCCAGTGTCGACGACTAACCAAGACCGCGATACGAATAGAGAGACCAGCTGGTCGAATAGTCACGGGATAGATCGGTTGTCGGCTACCTGGCCGGAAATACGGCCGCTTTCCTGCGTTCGTTCGCTCGGACCGACTGCAGTCACCGATCCTGTTAAGTTACGTTCAATCCGCAGCGTTTGCTGGATGCTCGGCTCGATGAGTTGAACGCGCTTTAAAAAACTGGAAACAGCAGCTGACCTAAAGATGTCTAAAACCTAACGCCAAGTGAACATTGCTGATCGATCGATCCTACTCGGTTGAAATCTCTCAATTTTCTATATTTATAGATATATTTCTATGGTAGATATCAAGCGAACTTGAGGTCGAGTGCTGAACGCTTCACCGAGTCTCTTCGTCTCGACTACCGTGAAATTTCCTTTATGAATTGCGCGATTTACATTAATTGGATCGGCTAATTGTCCCTGAACAGGAATCCGCGGTAAACATGGTAAATATGGGAAATGTGGGTCGAAGCTTCGCGGATGATTTAATGCGTTCAAAGATGTTCGAGCAAAACCTTTAATCGATCGGACGAGTCTGTTAAGAAGATGAGGCGATTAGAGTGTTACTTCCTGTAGTCCTATTTGCAAACCGGTAGTTGCTCGTTCGTAACGCTATTCCTGCGCTGCAACATTATAATCGCGCGTCAGAATTTTCCAAGACGTTTATTTGGAAGGAGGAGCCACTCTCCGTTAGCAGCGGAAAGAGAGGAAATTCGAATCACTGCCGTCGCAGAGTTCCCTGCTTTCTAGGAACTATGATAGTACTGCTCGCCGAATCGGCTAGATTTGCGGATCAGAGTGAACGAGAACGAACGATTGGATATCTGGTCCTGTCGAAAACTCTATTCGAAGGGTTCTGATGTACCGCGCGACGTCCGATGTTGCGAGACTCGGGAAGAGCCGACCGCGTCAGCGGTAAGTGCAGTTATGTTGCACTGACCGCTAGGATGCACCGGCCGAACCAGAGCCGCTCGGCGCTCGCTTGTTGCCATGCAACGCGACGTTTGTTCGCGAAATAAAAACCGTCCCGTGGTCCCGGGAAACGCGGATGCAGATCGCCTGGCGTAACAAACAAGAATCTCTAGTTGCCTGTAGTCCGTTCCGAACGCTGTTGATTCGATGCCATGGTTCTTTCGAAATTGAATCAGTAATCGACGCCTCTCGATCGTTTGGGAAGGCACGTCGGTGGGCACAGTCGCCGGTAGATTCGAGTATGCGCGAGAACGAACGACTCGACGAGATCGGAGAGGATGCGACCCCGGTGCAATTTCGAACAAGTCCCGACGCCGCGAAGCAACTTTTTCCCCGAATATTTGCATAATTGTTCGATCGCGATCGTTATCGCGTAGCATCCGTGGCTCAGTTTCATGCTAATGAAACGCAATTCGCTTTCGTGACTAGCCGGGGGTTTATCTCTCGATCCGTTGGCAGCTAGGATGCGCTCGGCGACGTAGAAATATTACCGTGATTCCGATTCGAGCCGCGCAATCGGTCCCTTATCTATCCTCCTGGCGCGGGTTTCTCAATCCTCGCGGGCCGTTATCTGCGAGAAAGTGCCTCTCGACTCTGAGCCTGGCTCCGATTCGAATATCCTGGAAACCCGAGGAAAACGCAGGATACGGAAACTCTCGGTAGCGTTCCGGTGCTCTTCGAACGTTCCCCGCGAAACCCTGAAAAGTATGCAACGTTGGCAACACTCTCGACACGGCGTTTTGCAACTGGTTACATGATCGACGGAGAAATATGTGGAATTTGAAAATACTTGGAAAGCGTGGTTCGCCGCGGACGCATTCCTGCAGGCGTGCACAATGCACCGTGGACGCGGTAATATGGAGCTGACATTCCTATTACCTTGCAACGTGCTACATTCTCCTGCTATGCAACGATCGAGCGAACCTCCTTATACTCGGACGTTCCTTCCGCAACACTATCCTATCGCCGCTGACGATGATCGGCTGGCCGACCCGATTCTCCGTTCGCCGTGCAACATTTCGAAAATTTCGTACATTTCGAAAAATCTTCTCTCGACAGGAATTCAACGGTGATCCACAAGTGAGAAATATTCAACGTGTTTCGTATACTCACGGAACGTCGATGACAATTACTTCCCTTGAAAATTCGGAAAATTCCATCAAAGAATAAATATCCTTTTCCCTGGTTCCTCGAATATTAACCTCAAAAATAGAAATACCGGGCTGCTCGTGTACTCGCGTACTCGTATCGATGGATACACACGGATCGTTTATCCAACTTTTCCCATTGTTTACACAACTTGACTCGGTCGAGCCGTACGTTCGATCGTGACATTCTCGTGGAAAGGAAAAAGCAAAGGACTCGTGTAGGCGCATCTAGCAAAGTTTCTCGTTCGATCCAATTATGCGTGATGTTGTAGAGTACTAACCTTACATCGTTCGATACACTTACCGCGACATCTTACCGCTTCTGACCGCCTGCCATTTCTTCGAAGCAACTACACTTGCACCTTTGTTATCGTGATACTACATAGCCGCAGAACAGATTCGCCCTGGCATAAGCTTAATAATCTTGAGACATCCGTGCAACCTCCGACGCGGTAAACTCTCCGTCGTGATTCTCTGTTACGCGAACAAACACCGTTTACGTTTGCCGGCAACATTCCCGCCAGAAATCAAGAAAATCGTCCAAGAAGATGTCGCGAGTTACCTTGGCTGGACACGTGTTCCGATTCTTAGGAAACTCCACACTTATTTCCGGAAACGCCAGTTCCCCTTCGATTCCACTGGTTCGCGATGCACCGCTAAATCACGCACACGCGATTCATTCGAATCCGAAACCGTTTGAAACCGTTCCGTCCAGTCGCGAGCCGCGTTCCTTCGTTTCCGAGCGTGCGAAAATCGAAATCAACTCGACAGCTTGTTCGCGATAATCGAAAAAATCAATTGCTCGTTTTTGAACAACAGTCGCTGCTCGGTTCGATCGATCGTCGAATCGACTCGCGGGAATTCACGCGGGAACGAACACCGTGTTAGGTTAACTCGTCATTGTTTCGCTGAAAAAGAGACGCGAACGCAAAGGGAATTTTCCAACGATCTCGACTCGAGCGTCGATTAAAGCAAACTGAGAATATGCAGACTGTCGCGGGTAATGCGAACCAGGCCAACTATGCAACCAACTAGCTACCTGGCCATTCGCTATTCCCGCGCAAAAAATCTCGACACGCATAACAGATAGTATAGTTGAATAGCGATCGTACACGGGGCTTTGCTGCCGGAAAGGACGATTACGTTGCAGTTCAATCATCGATAAGGTAATTAAACGTTCGTCCTTGTTTACTAATAACGACTGGAGGAAGGAAAAAGCAACCGTAGGCGAGCCGATAACCACTTTCACTGCAAAACAAGCGGAGGATTCTTTATTTTCATAGATTTCCCATCTGTTCAACGCTCTGCTCTAATTAGCCAGCCTCGAATTGCCAAAGTTTCCAATATTTCCAATAAAAAACAGGTAAAATACCTAGGTAAATTTATAATTGCGGTAAAAGAGCAGTTCTGTTTCAGCGAATTCAGAAAGAAGAATCTCGAGATGAGGAGGCTAGGGCAGCCCTGACACAAATGATGGTATTCACGATAGGCATGTTGGTTTATGAATGGTGTATATATTATCGTAAATACAGTCGATATAAAACATCCTCGTGTTTTCCGCGCATGATAATCATGTAGAGACATATAAACGCGTTGTCTTATCAATAGTAAGATCGCCTATAAAAAAAGAAACGGGTTACAGGATGAACTTACACCTACTCCGTGAGAGCAGCATCGTTTCACCTGCCAAAGGATCGCCGAGCTTTAATTTTCGATTACTTTGTATTTGATATTTAATATTTAATATTTAATATTCAATATTTGATATTTAATATTTAATATTTAATATTTAATATTTAATATTTAATATTTCATATTTCATATGCATTTTAGATTTCTGAAATCAGTTCAGCTTCGTTAGGGGATGGCTCGTAAGAATTTCTTCGATTCCCCCATGTTTCTTGAAAAATCAACCAAGTACTTTATCGTAAACTCATCGAGGTGCAAACTCTTACGCAGACTCGCTTACAACAAGATGATCTAGGTAAGTTTCTTAATGGTTCCTGCGCAAAAATAGTTGATCTCTTTATACTGAACACTCTAGTATGTTTCTAAATTTCTTTCTTGTCGCGTATCAACTCCAACTGATTGGATGGTTTCTTCCAACTGTCGTAAAACCACTAGAGTCTACTCGAGAGACTCTAGAATGGTCAAAGGATTCGATTACTAGGTCCAACGCTATTCCACCGACACTTGGCTTTACGATTAGCCAACAGATCTAGCTGGTCGCGAGAGCAAACGGAACTTTTCATCGAAGAATATGATGAGAATGCGATGGGAATACAATAGGAATAGAATGGAAACGCAACAGGAATATGGATGAAACGAAAGATTCGCGCTGACCGAGAAACATTGATCGCGAGGCTAATACGCGACAAGAAAGACAACGGATTCAGCATAAGAAAATACGTAATATGCATATTTTTATTCAGGAACCGAAAACCTTATTGTTCAATGTCATTACAAAAAAGGACCAAGTAACGTCACTTGGGTGTTTTTCGTAAGCTCTTATTTGGCTTCGTTGAAGAATGCGAAAGTACGGCAAGGATCTCGCGGATCTTATTCAATGAACGTTACATTGTTTTTTCCTCGCTTCGTTCTTTTCCTTCTTGAAACGTTCGTAAACGTTCCAGTGAGCAAATTTACTTGTCGAATACACTTTGACTAGGGTGATTATTTAAAGGAAGTACGTCGTAGAAAGTGGTTCTGGTAAAAAAGGGGTACATGGAAAAATATTTCTTAATCAAGTCTAACAGCTTTACCCCAGTCAGAGTCCATTCGATTCTAGATATGTTCGTAGACACTCGTTGAACATTTCCTATCCTCAGACCAGTGTCTTGGAACTCAAGCAATCCAAAGGTGTCCTTCGAAACTTGGCTCGAGTATTGGCTAAATTTTTACCTTTAGATTGCATGAATTCTATCGTGCGATCATTACGAATGATGCGAAAGAAAATGAAGGGTTCCTTCTATTCGCGACACTTGCCGAAAGATTACGATAGAACGAATGGTAAACGAATGGTAATTAATAACGATCTCAACCTCCCCAATCGAGGTCGTTGTAATTCAATTTCATTGCAACTAATATATCAGTACATTATTTTCTTTCACACGTATTGGTCGAATCTTTTCAGTCGTTATACCTCTTACAACTTACAACGGACAATAACATAGAAGCTCCGTGCCGAACAGACCTAGACCCCACCAGTTCCATCCGAACTCGACCAACGAGCATTATTTCGAAAAGCTATCGCGTTCTTTGTTACTTTATCAGAAATGGCATTTTCTTCTTCCTTCTTACGCTTCCTGCACAGTTTCTCTAGCTAGGTCTGCTACCGAGAGCAAATAGAGAAATCAATCTTATCGAACACAGAGATTCCATACGTAATATTTGGTGCTTACTGTGTATACCCTATTACCGGGTAAAATATCAACGTTTCCACACTACCAAAGTTATTAGCCCCGAAACAAAACATGACTCGACAAGCTGATCCGACCCTCTTGTATTTGTGCTAAACTTCAGCAATAATTACGCATACACACGACATGCCTAAATCTACCACTTATCTATCGGATTAACTCACGGTTAATAGAGAGGAATCTCTAGTTGCAAAAACTCTGTCTCTCTGTGTGTGTGTGTGTGTTTGTGTGTGTGTGTGTTTCTGGGTGCGTGTGTCAGTTTGTTGTGTGTTTCGTGTAATCGATAAGCTATATTGGTTAAAACTAAGCTACAGTGCGTACGATACCAAATAATAATACCGTGAGGAATATTATCTTTGGAAATAAGATTTGCTTCGATCAGCAAAATGTTATTAGCTTTCTGAATGGCGGAGCATATCGAACGCGCATACGATTTAGGAATTAGTCGACGTCCACGATTACTAGAAAAATGATTGTCTCCTTAAAAAATACATGATTCCCTAAAAGTAATCATGAGCGGCGGTAAACGAAACGCAAAATATAGAGAGTCTCTCTGATCACTGTATCATGCGATACAAGGATTATTCGCTGCTTAGTCGTAGGCATCGTAATACTTTTCCTTTTAACGCACATCTAACTCGAGATGCAGAGTACATTTATTTATTGGCTTAGCTTCTATCCCACGATCGTTCGATTACGAAACCCGATTAGCGAATAGATTTATTGTGCAAATTATCACATCAAGTTCGCATACACGCAAAAGAAGAACGTAATTCAATTTCCTTCGCTACCAATTCAATGAAATCGAAAAAGAACAAAGCTATTACACACTGTACGCAGATTGGTCCACTAGAATCGAAACACCGAATCGTCTCCTCTAATATTACTCGGTTGGATTGCCAAGTGAACTCGCCGAGAACACTGTGCGACATCTTCTTAATTTTGCTCGCGAACATTCTCTTTGGACGACAACGCGTGTTCCGTTCCCGTCCAACCAACCCGCCACACGTATCTCGTTGTAAGAGAAGCTCAATCGACGCGCTAAATCAAAGTGTGGCTATCTCATTGTTGGGCAGTAGAAAGAATACGTCCCAAATACTATTCTCGTTCTAGTAATCCTAAAATAATAAATAAACATCGCTTCAATTGATCTAGCTTTCTACACACGGGGGACAAACGAAAATAGTACGAGGACAGAGACGGAACAGGAGAAGGAGAAGGAGGGGGAGGAGGAGGAGAGAGAAACAGTAGAAGAAACAAGGACAAGGTAATTGTGTAAAAATACTATTTACCCCCCACGGAACGAGTCGAGTCAGCATATCCTCTGCGAACCGACACGCGTTCCGTGTCCAACCGTGTCAGTCGTTTGTATCGATACACCGGTTAAACCGCGGCCGTGTCGTCCGTGTTCCGCAACAACGCGGCCGCTTTGACAACGTCGCCGCCGCATTGGTTCAGCATCACTTTGCAATCCTCCAGTCCGACAAAGTTGTTCTCCTTTTTCAGCAGACCCTGGAGCCGCTCCAGCTTGATCGCCGCCAGCACGTCCCAATCGGTGACGTTCAGAGCCGCGATGCAAGACTCCGGTGTCGACTGTTCGTGCAACACTTTCATCATGATCCTGACCTCGTCCGACTGTTCCCCGTTACGCGGACCGCGCGTCCTTCGCGCGTTCGGCCCGTCGCAGGCAAACTCCAAGAGGTCCTCGCAGCTGACGTGGTCCGACTGACGCGACAAGTCGCTGGTACGGCCCGACAATTTTTCGCTGGACAGCCTGCTGTACGGTTTCGGTGTGGGATGGAAGCTATCGGTTGACTCGACCGCGGAAGACTCTTTCGGCTGGACGACTTCGGACTGCTGTTTACTCTTCTGCGAACTGCTCTCGGAGTACTCGCCGTAATCAAAGTGCATCGTATAGTTGGAAGGCCTCTGGATCAAGTTGCTCCTGATGGCTTGAAGTTTGCTGGAACCGGCCGACTCCTCGGACTGGTTGGACCCCGTCGGAGTCGAGTTCCTGCTGGTTTCGCCAGCCTCGTTCTCCTGCGCGCACTTGGAAGTCGAACTTTGCATCGAACTTTTCGACTCGACGCTGGTCTTTCTGTGAAGACGTTCGCTCGACGAACCGGTCGACTGCACGTCGCCTTCTTGAGCGTTCTGTCGGTATTCCAGGCCGTCGCAGTCTATCAGGTTGTCGGAAAATTCGAGCAAGTCCTCGGAGATGACGCTGAAACGGTGGAGTCGGTTCTCATCGGTCGGAAGGGAGTCCAACGCGGCCAGTTCCGAGTCTATGCGTTGCTCGAACTCCTCGGGACTGCGCGAAACGAGTTGGGAACACGTTAGATCGATTAGATTAAGAGTGCAGAGTCTCGAAGCTGCCGCGTAGCTCGCGCGTTTCTCACCTGTTGGCTGAAGTCTCGGACGAGTATCCCTCCTGCAGGGACGCGTTCGTCGTCGACGAGCCGGCATTCTGCAGACTCCCGTCGACCTGATCTTCGAGGGGCGGCGTGGTAACCGCCATTTTCGCCAGGGTTCTGGTCACGCCGCCGCCAGGAATGATCAGGGGATGCTTCCGCTGGTGCCTGGGTAGACTGGACTTGGGCTGCAGGGTTTTCGACCTGTCCCTGGGCGGCAATGGTATCGGGTTCTCGTCCACGTTGTTCTGATTCTGATTGTTCTCGATCTCCAAGGCGGAATGGTGTCTCTCCAGGTGACGCGTCTGCGGCAGCGGCGGCGGCGCGTGCGGAAGAGGCGGCGCTCGGATCTTGGGCAGCGTCTTCGAGCCGCTGTGGTACGCGTCGAAGTGGAACGTGTCCCTGGACAGGTCTTCCTGGTGGGAGCCAGTGTGGGCTAGAGTGGCGTGCTTGTTCCCGCGAACTCTCGGCCTGACTATGGGCACGCCGGAACGCAGCATGCGCAACGGATTCGTGTCCGGAGCGGTGTCTATGCTCGGCGTTTCCACCAGACTGTTGTACACTTCCTTTGCCTCGTCCGACAACGTAGCCTAAACAAGTCGTGGGAGGGGATAGATTCGGGAAAGAAGAGAACAGAAATTAAAAAAGAAACCAACAAACGAGGAGAGAGAGAGTGAGAGAGTGAGAGAGAAACAGAGAGAGAGAGAGAAAGAGAGAGAAAGACTATCGCATGAAAAAATAAACATCCGTGTGTACGGGTCTCTCTAACAGGAAGGGGACCGCAAACGAGTGGAGACAATGCTTGAACACACTCTCTCGGTACTCTGGTGCAACTCTATGGAAGGGACGTGAGACGCGGTAGGCTGGCTTCGAAACGATCTTGGAGGCGAGATATAGGCTACTCCGAATCAATCGATACAAGTGTACGCACGCAAACAGGATATAGAGTTTGTAAACACTCGGTTGAACAGAAAATCGAAATATAATCAGCGCGTAGGTCCGATTACACACACTCCAGGGTTTTCATTCCAACGTCCTCCAAGTACAAATGGTATAAACGTGTAAATGCATCCAAACATATTACCCTCTAGATGTCGTTTAGTAATTAATGTAACATGCAAGCATGCTAAGCGTATGTAAGGAGAACTGTCTCTGAACAGTTCCTTGATTTAAGTACACTGAGTATTGTCCAGAGCTGGGTATCGTTTCCTATTATCGTTATAGTTGTGACCCAAGCGATTTTCGGAATCCTACCGTTCATCGTCACACAGTCATCCGTCACTGTTGAGCAATATTCGTACGAGTTGCCATTTTTCCGATCCTAGTATTATACAGCTGCAGCTGTTCGATCATTGTTACGCTAATAACCGTGGCAATCGCTACTCTGTGTAGCATAAGAAAATCTCCGATCATTTCGTATTAGGAAGGACACTATGTGACGTGAAAAGACGTTCACCTCCTTTTTCTTCTCTTTCCTTTCTTTTCTTTCTTTTCTCGGAGAAACGAATCTTTGAAGAATCACTCGACTGTTACGAAAATTACTCGGGAGAACCGCAAGAAAGAAAGAAACGGAACATTCTGAATTTGTTTTTCTCGTGAATTCCACCCTCGTGGAAAACGTGGAAAGAGCTCACCGAGTACTGCCCAACTCTGGCGTTATCCAATTAGATTTCTGCCAAGAACGTGATTAGAAAACGCAGGATATTCGAATTCTATGGAGCAGGGGAAGGTGGAAAAGTCAGTATGTCGTTGGTAAACTCTGGATACTCGGAACTGGTGTCAGAGTCTAGATCGGAGTTACTGGTAAACGTTAAGCTAGAACTCGGAGCGCTTTCCGGCCAAGACAGCAGATTATTTCCAGAGGAGAAAGGCGGCGACAACGAGTTCAAGAAACTGGTCGACGGTGGAGGTGACTTTCCGCACAGTTCGATCGATGAAAACCCTCTGGCTGTTTCCGGGTGCAAAAAGTGCCCTTTATTCTTGAAATTTAAACGCAGATTATGCGGGAGCTTCTTATGCCGTCGCTTGTAGCGTAAGCGGCTCCGTATGTCCGTTTCCGAATGAGATATGGAATCCGAGTCTTCGCTGGAATCGTTTGTCGGATGAAACGATCTTCGCACGTTTTTCAGGGGTAACTTTCTATTCTCGGAGAGCGAGGATGTTCTCTGCCTGTATATGTTGGCCGGTGTTGGCATCTTCTCCAAAAGAACATCGGCCTTGGCCACCTCTTTCCTCGAGTTGTCGTTCTGGTACAACTTGGGCGGCTCCAGAATTTGTTGGTGTATAGTGGGGCTCGGCGGAGGGTTCGCCTTCTGCGTCAGTTTCGCGTTCGCCTGGGACTGGCACTGCAGAGGAATGTTCAAGTCCAGGTGCTTGGGCTTCTGAATCGGGATATTCAGACTCCTGAGCGGCGTCTGAGTTTGCCCGGGCAGATCCAAGTTTCGAATGTTGCCGACCAACGACTTGGAAGGTGCGTTCTCCATGTTCCTAGTGTTCTGAGCAATGTTCTTGCCCAGTTGAATCATGTTCTGTGTCAGTTTACCTAGACCCAGGTTCAGTCCTTGACCTTTCTTCGAGTCCAGGTAATTCTTCACACTCTCCAGACCAGACACCTCGCGTTGGTACTTCTCGGCCAACAATTTGCTACTCAACTCCACCTGATTGTTCGCTTCGGCGTCGCTCTTTCGCCTGAGCCTCTGGAAATTCACTCTGAGACTCTCCGAACTGCTGTAAAGAGGCGACTCCTTTTTCTCGGATTCCGCGATAAACAGCGGATTGTTGGAAATAACGAACGGGAATCCGTCGTGGCCATTCTGATTCTGCTCGATCTTGCGGAAACTCTGAATGTTGATTCGCACAGCCTCCATATTTCCTCTAGGACTGTCCGAGCCCCCTCCCCCTCCTCCTCCGGTTTTCAAGTTGGTCTTTATGCTGTCCGTCGAACCGTAGATGACGCTCTTGGCCTCTTGATTCGTGCTCCTAGAGACAAAAGGCACTTTGCCACCTCTCGCCTTCGGTATCTCCATCTTCTTCGAGAACTCCGGTATATTAATTTTCGACGAGTCGCTGAACGAACTCGAAATCTTCGGTCGTGTGCCAATGTCAAGATTGGCCATCTTGGCCGACTCGAATTTCATAGGTTTCGCGCGAGGGAAATCGACAAAGTTCGAAGGCGTTTCTTTCGCCAGATCGAAACCGATCGTCTCGTCGTATTTCGTGTCAAAGTTGGCTGCGTTCTCCTTCGCCGGCTGCTCGCAGCTAGCAAATTTGTTCTTGTTAGACGGCACAGCGTTCTGCTCTTGGATGTTCGAGTAGCAGCCAGCAGATCTGCCCGGCTGCTCGAGATTATTAATCTTGTCGTACTTCTCCTCGGCGAAATACGATACTTTCTCGCTGGTGCAACTCAAAGCGGCGTCGTCTTCAAAGTACTTTGGTTGCTCAAAGTATCGTTCCACGTAGCTGGTCGACACCCTCTTCGAATCGCGAGCAAAGTCAAAGTTCGAGTTCTCCACCGACGCTACCTTTCCGTTCTGTGAGAAAACGTTCAGCTTCCCAGCGTCCACGTCTGTGAGATTCTCGCTATTGAAGTTGCTTCTCTTGTTACCGTTCTCCAGAAATTCCGTCGATTTCACCAGATTCTGCTTCAAAGCAGCATTGTCGAGGATCTGCGCGTCAAACTCTATATCCATGTACGACGTCCAAGCACTGGGTTTCGTCAGAAGCTCGCGAGATTTAGCGAAACAAAATTCAGCGGACGCTTTGTCCCACAAAGGCAGCTTTAGGGTGGATGGTGCGCCAAGCGATTCTATGCTGGAGACAGTGGACGACAACGATTGCAAACTCGAGCACAACCACTTGATTTGTTCCGCAACGATGAACCATTGGCATGCAATTTGTTCGAGAATATTGAAATGTAATCAATCGAAAACGACCATGCACGATGTCATTGATGCAGGAATGTGACATTTTTCAAAGAACAAAGCACCGCACACGACAACGTTTTCAAAGGTTTCAGTGAACAGTCGCACATAATTGGTGGAGAAACGGGAACGAAACGAAACGAAAGAAAGGAATTTGTCGACACAGCGATGCAACGACCAACGGAATATGAATGAACGGAAATCGAACGAGTTAAGAAGAATTCCGAAGAATCGAGGAAAAAATTGCGAAAATAATCGGGGGGAATGGAGAAAAAAGAAATTGACGAAATTCACAAGATTGATGAAATTGAAGAAATTGTAACACAAACGAAACGTAAACAGACGGGAAAGGATCAGAGGAAAGTCAAGATTAGTATTATTCGTAAATCGATAAGCATTGTATCTCAGCTTAAGGTATGGACAAGTGACATAAATTGGAGTATTAAGAACAGATGCAAGATTGCGATATACCTACTCTTCAGTGTGGCATCAGGAATTAACTCTGTTCCATAACAGTTTTGACAAAATCGACTGAAATACCGTTCAACTTTCAAACTATTCTTATTCGTACTCGTATTCGTATGCAGTAGGAAACGTTACGCTCGATCGTCCCGTTATGCTCTCTAACGTATCCTCGCCCCTTTCTCATGTATTCGTTATCGGTATAACCGAAAATGAATCGAATTAGTTGATTGTAGTGCAATGTTAGATTGTGTTTGGATGATTATGTTAGTTTGCGTATTTTTAGTGTTCCAAACGTTTAGTGATTAAACAAAAACTGTTTAATGTACCTGTATGTCAGGTATACTGGCTGCTTCTTCTGAAAAGTGTCGTCTGTCTGGTTTGGGACTGTGTTGATGTGGCAACTTAAAAGAGAACTTTCTGCGTCTTGAAGGACTGGCGGGTGTTCGGGGAGACTCCGGCGGATGTTCAAGATCTGTCATGGAACGTGCTGTCAATTCCTGTGCCATAGCAATGGCCGAGTAGAGAGTTTTCTGATCGGCGGCTGAGATAGGCTTCACCTAGATATAAGAGAAACGTTTACCATCTCTACCGAGTGGACGATTCAACAAAAATGTCTGCTTTTAGCAACTTGATCAGTGCATATTCATTTATTCTAGACAAATCTACTGCGTCTCTACTTTTCTTACAATGTATCCGCTAATTCTGTTCTTGAACGCGCTAACGCTTTCGGGTTCTATACTTTCCCATGCACATGATACATGTATATAATACATAGAACACAAAAATAATACACAGCAGCAAATGATGAGTAAGAAATGAATTACAACTGATAGAACACATAAAAGCATAACTGTAACATAAAATTAAAAGAAAGTTACTGTACATTTATTGGACTCACGGTGGCTTGTTTTTTCTTGTTGCACTGCTTCGCTTGAATCTCTCTCAGTTCGTTCCTCGCATTGCTCGATTCATGCTCGGTAGACAGGGAATGAACGGGTGGTGGCGGAGGAGGAGAAGATCCTGCGAATACACACGGGTAAACAAATATACATTTCACTTGATACCTTTCGTTTCGATTCCTCTCAATTTACCTAACGATCTGAACATTTGATCCATTTCTGCCAATAAACTTGGACCAAAATCGAAATTTAATGTTTTATCGAATCGTAGTGGACTGTCTTGATTCTCTTCGTCACTGATCTCGTGGTACTCGTGATCTGCTCCCAAAGCATCTGTACTATTCATCATGTTTGTTGAAACCGACTGCTTACTAGAATTGGCTATTGTCCCCAAATGACACATATCGGAACTCGCATCGGACCATAAGCTTTCTATTAAAGAATACATAATTAACGTTCATAAACGGTTTACTCGACACCTTGGTAGCTGACGATAAGCAATATAAATACCGTGCTTATTTTGTGCATCTTGCTGCACATTCCTGTTGTCCCTTAACGATTCTCTGTTCGCCTCTGTATTTCTGGCGTCTTGATTCAGAATTTGACTAGAATTATCTGTGATATCCTCCTGAGGTTTGTACGGAGATACCACTTGCCGGGGTAAATGTGGATTTTTACCACCAAGGAAGCCAATATCGCCAAAGTAAGCTCCGTCCAGTCCAACATGACCAGTGTGCTTTAAATCTCCTTGCGGGGAAGATATCATATCTGTTCGAATTTTTCTCCGCTGGGAAGAAAATGCATTTTTCCCATCCCCACGTGTAAATTCTCCAGGCTTGTTACTCGGTAAATTAGAACCGAGGTAGGCTATCGTATGAGCAGGATTGAAGAAACCAGTTTTCCCATTGTTTAGAACGCCTTTCCATAATGTATTACTACTGCCCTTATCCAACACAGTTATAACGTCCCCCTGCCTGTAAACCAGCTGGCCCGTTTCCGCGCTGTCTTGAACCGCTTGAACTTGTTCCGGCTTCAAGTCGGGTAACAGATTAATTAATTCGGAAAACTTGGGCCGCTTTGACGGTTCATGTTGCCAACACTGTTGCATCAGTGAGAAATACTCCTTCGGACAACACTCTGGCTGCTCCAGTCTTTGAAAATTGGGCTCGTCTATCGCTTCCAAGATCTGTTGACCCGTTAACGCTGGCCACGGTTGGAAACCGTAGCTAAACATTTCCCATAGAGTCACTCCGTACGCCCAAACATCGCTTGCCGAAGTAAACTTTAAATAAGATATAGATTCTGGAGCACACCAAGCTATCGGTAATTTCAAATTTACATTAAAATTCGTTTGATAATAATCTTTGCCGACTCCCAAAGCACGAGACAATCCGAAATCAGATATCTTCACTTTATTCTTGGAGAAAACCAAGATATTTCTAGCAGCCAGATCGCGATGTATTAATCTCTTTGCTTCTAAGTACTGCATCCCATCCGCGATCTGTACTGCAAAATCACAAAGAGAGGGAACTGGAAAACTGGGACGTAAACTTGGTTCTTTCAAGCACTCGAGCAACGATCTTAGAGGTGCCAATTCTGTGACGAGCATCAAGGAATTTGTATCCAAGACCACGCCATATAATCTTACAATATGTTCGTGATCGATGGCGTACATTATGGCAGCTTCCTTTAAAAATTCAATAGGATTATTTTGCATTCTTTCTCGCGATAAACATTTGATCGCCACTTGTATTCTTTCCCCATCGTTTGTCCAAACACCTTGTTGCACCACTCCGAATTCTCCAGTTCCCAATTCCTTATTTACAATGATCGCATCAGCTGGTATCATGTGCTTATTAGGAACACGAATCGGCGGCCTATCTTGCCTCTCTTCCGGTAACATGGTCAAAGCACCCGAAGTTTGTTCCTCGCGTTTCGGCAAGAGCATCTTTTTGAATTTGGAGAGGTAATTTTGAGGGAAATGCTTCTGAAAGTATTTCTTTAAACGACGCATCTCAGGCTTACTCATTCCAATGGCATTCAAGTCTTCTTCCGTTACATATTTTAACTGAGCGGTCGTTTGCACTTTCAAGTCCCCTGTCGACAGAGAAACGCTGATTGGAGAGAAGGAAACGTCGAAGCAAATGGAACGTACGAAAATGAATTACCTCGAATTCCAGGATAATACTGTTGTAGCTCTGCTTCCATGAGGAACTCGTACAAACCAGGTCCAGTATTGCGGGACATTCCTCCTTGCGTGTCTTTAAACACAATTAACGATAAATGAATGTGCCATCGAGTAGAAACTATCAGATTATCATAATGCATCACTGCCTCTTAATAACCTAGCGTATATGACAGCGGAAGCGTCAAAGGATTTCGTTACATAAATGTTATATAAATTGTTCATCGCTCGGATATTATCGGCACGCTTGTGAAACGTTATCGGACAATGTTCGAGTGTGGAAAAGTCGCTCGCGGAAAAGGCGGAAAACACGGAAAAGGCGAAAAACGCGGAAAACGCGGAAGACACGGAAATGAAAACACTGTCCCGCGTTAGTCGATTCGATCGACGAAAAGCGGAACAACGGAAAGGTATCGGCGACAAAGTTTCACTTTACGATCATTCACTTTGGTGAAAAACACAGCAATGGATCTCGCTTACTTCATGAAACTCTCCACGGTAAGAACTTCTCGTGCGTCAAAGAGAAAGAAACTCGGCTTGTACGGTCGGCGAGCGTTATTGGGAGCCACTAATATGCTTGCGGACACAATCGAATGCTCGAATACTCATTATCTGTCAAGGATCGTGCAAGCATCGAGTCGCGAGGACGAGTTTTTGCCCGACAGGAAGACTTTGAAGCTTCTATGCAGAAAGGAAAGCACAAAATGCACGGCCGAGGGGAAAATAGAAAATAATAGAGGCGGGAGCGGGAGTGGGGACACGAAATTCCTGGCACGCGACGCCGGCCCCGGTGTACCGTGTGCACCGGGTCCAGAGCCGAGTAAAACGCAGCTTAATACTAAATGGGTTACTATACCATTCAACTCTGATCCTATAGCATTTTCTCATTATAAGATCGATTCGCGTTGCACGCTGTAAACTCGTCTCGCTCTTACTTCTCATCGAACTAAACAGAATCCTGCACTTTGGAACATTCGATTTCGACTCGACTGTGCTTTTATACAGAATTTCAATCTTCTTTTACAGCTCGATTCGTCTCTGTGCCAGTGTGTGTGCGTGGTGCGTGTACCTACTCGCCTACTCGTATCAATGCGCATACATGTGTCTGTACAATGAACGCTGCCGAGTCATGAAAGTAACACTCGTTACATTTTACAAATGCAAATACAAATAGAAATGGTACAGCGATCATTTCGATTTCATTAGAAACAATTTCGGACATTGTTCAACTGTACTCGCATGTTCTGCTTCAACTTTTCGAAATATTACGTATCGAATGGTCATTGTATAGGTGTACGATAAGCGTCGATGCATCGAATAAAAATATCATGCGTGCATTCACGAATGAAATCAAACGGAAAATAAAGCGCGAATTGCACTCGATGTTTATTTCCGCCATTTTTGCGTGAGAATGGTAAGTTTATGTGTGTATGCATGTAAGTCGTGACATATAAACGGACGAAACACATACTCGATGCACTCGTCGACACGACGTAACGATTACAAGGAATTACAATTTGCCTCGACAATGGTAAGCATAGATTCTTTTCGGGAGAAAAATATGGTCATTTGCAAAGAGGAGATGGTAAAACACCTTCGATACGCTTTGCAACTTGCGTCGATGCGATCATTTACGGAATTCCGAGCCATACGTTGTTGAAATATTTACGGGAAGAATTCGCGTAGAAATTTCACCGAAATAGGACACTGAGCACTAATGCGTCGACTGCAGAATTTTCTCTAGTGCGAAATGTCATTCGCACGACTGGACACCACGAATTCCAACCCACCCTACGTCCGTCTATTCGTACAACTTTCGTTCGTCATCGATCATTCGATGAACATTCTGTCCGTGTCTTTGGACTCATCGTTGGACATCGAACAAGAGAAACGAAGATGAAAACGAATCGTCGGGCTCTCGTATCGAGACACGCCCGTAAAATCCGAATTTACCATTATTCCTAACTGTGCGACAGGTTTTTAGGCGACTACGGATACCTTTCTATGAAAATAGGCATAAAGCGGATCATTGCGTTAATAATAATACGAGTTCAACGATCCTCACAGTGCGGTACGATATGCGGAAAACCCGACTTCGGCAAGTACCTAGCAAAGTACATAATTAATTATTTTGGAAAAAGTAAACGACGCTCTCGGAGCAAACGGTGGCGCCACTTGCCAGTGCACTGGCCGAACTACGGAACAACAAAGATTCGAGTGTCCAGAAGACTCGGCCGTTCGAATGAACGTTCCTGGGCTGAAAATGTCTGCCGATTAAAAGCGCGACGGCCACGTTCGGCCCAATATTAGAAGAAACAACGTCTCGCGTGTTTTTCACGAATTACCCTAATCACGGGCATACGGATAGTATCGCCATCTAGCGGGGGTAGGCGTCAGCCACGAGTCCCAATTCAACGCTGGAAGGGCACGGAAGAAACCTAATCCCGTGACAGACGTGTCCCATAATTACAGAAATTGTAATGTTATTAGAATGCTTACAAACATGCTCCTACACTGCACACAACCGTGTGTGTGTACCCACGTACGTAACTACACGTATAACGAAGTTACGCTCGATGCAGTGAAATCACGTCCGCGTGATGTCGGTGGCAGCTTGTCAGGGGCAAACTCAAAAATCGAGCATCTTCCCCATTCCTGTAATATGCGACACGCTAACTTACCATCTTGTAGATTTCATTTCTATTCCCATTCTATCGTTCAAACAGAACCATCCCGTCTTTTTTTATTTTCAACCATCAACATCATTTCAGAAACAGCACAACGTTCAACCGACCTACGAGAATCTAGCTGTTTAACAATATAGATATGTATTGCATGATAATATAATCCAGAGAACGAAATCGTTACTTATATTTCATTACTAATTAAACGAACGTTACGGATTTTACAAGTCCGAATCGGTGGATTGGAAAGACAGATACACTGACATATACGTTACAAGCATTTCTATTTATTTAATAACGAGAGAACGATAATTAGGAGCTACGCTTTATGTCATGATAATGCTCATATCGTAATTAACAATCTATGAAAACTTCTTTCTAATATATGGAATCAAATTGAGCGTCAATAACTTATTAATTACTACTCGAATCTGGTTCAAACTGCTAGTGAATAATACCAAGCGTCTACCCTAATATCTTCAATCATAAATGTTCACAATTTGTTCCCATTAAGTGAGTAACTTTATTGTTTACTGGGCACCTGTCAAAAAATTCTAGTTTATCTACCGACATCGTCTCGGAAAATAATTAATAAATATTTAATGAGGCTGAAAATCCTAACGAAAGTGATATGGGATAGTAGGGGAAGGATCATTCTGTGATTCTAAGTTACAAATGTTCATAAATGATTCGTGGTGGTCGAGTTATTAATGAATTCGCTGTTGTTTTCCACATCGATGTAGTGCTTTTAGTTCGTAGCGTCCACCGCTAGATGGCACCACTTATTTTGCTATCCCGGAGACCTCCTCGGCCCTGATGCTTCGCGCGTACGCACCAGGGACCGATGAGTTGCTTTTTCCTAGGAGGTGGCTCGAGTGATACTACTTCTGTCCTTGTCGTACAGTATGTCCGTCCTTGTCTTACACATTGCGGGTATAGGGAGAAGCTTCGAAAACGCTCGTCCGCTAGATGGCGCTAGTGTCGCCCGCTTCTCCAATTCTTTCAAATGGACCTTAAGGCGCGCAAGTGGACCTTATTTGTATACCATAAATACAAAAGCTGAACGTAATTATTTACCCAAAGACTAAGGAATCGATTCGTTTTGTTAAATAATTTATTATTGTACACGTAACTACGATTTTACTTGTATGTATGTAACCGAATGGGCAGTTTATAATATTACATCTAATGCGTTTTAGCAAAAAAATTTTATTCGACTCTTACAGACGGTATAAATATAACAAAGAATATTAGTTGGTACGCTTCTATTTTGAAATTACAACATTTTCTTCTTTTAATGCACGTCTATCAGGCGCCATTTTAATATCTGGTTCCTGTAGATCCAATATGTGGTTTCATACGATTTATAGTGTACGTTAACAAATGCAGATTCTGCAACAACTTTGTAACCCTTGTATAATGTCGTTCGGTATATGGTATCACAGATTCCAATGTGACAACCGAGTTTCTATCAGATTTCTCATGTTCCCATTCTTCTATTAGAGCTTGTAGAACTACCTATTATAAACAAAGATTAAATATTATTATATACACAGTTGTACAGTTGTAATAATGAATGGTATATGGAATTTGGTCATTGTAAAGATACGTCTAATAGAATTTTTATTTAAAATAATATGTACCTGAGCTACTTGACAATTTTTGCTGTTGGTATTCCACGTAGTGGCACATTTAAACAGTTCTTCCTTATAAGAGGGTTTCAATTCGCCAATTGTTTGTGAAAGTTGAGAATAACTTTTAATTAAAATACCTGTTCAAAAGAATCAACTAATGTCTAAATTGAAGAATGGAAGGATTAACTATATTATCAACTAATGTCTACCATGAAATATTTTTATTCTCTGGCAATCTCCTTGGATTTACGTTCACTAAACTGCTATCTTTAGCACCTACTACTACAATTACGCAATCAAGGATCTTTATAAAAATAATAATAATATAAGCATGCGACTTACTTTCTACGATTTTTAATACTTGCAGGGGACGTTTCAATTTTAAACTTAAATTCAACGCAGAACTCAGCTTATTTGCTTGAAGTAAATTTGCCAACTCTTGTTCTTCGAGTGCAAGCTGTTTCATTTCTAATGCTGCTTTCTCTTTCTTTTCTTCGGTTATGTCTTTCCAAATAATTAACAGTGAATCGCTTCCACCACTAATTATATTTCTTTCGTCTTTGCTAACTATATTTCGGACACTATATTAATACAAGATACTTAAAGTTTCACATATATCGAATTAATACTAACCAGCTATTGTCCACACCCGGCTATCGTGCTCCTCTAGAGTACATAAACATTCGGAAGTTTTGATGCTCCAGATTTTCAAAAGACCATCGCCACTTGCCGTAATTAACTGCGTACCGCGTGTTAAAAATTCTGCTTTCAATACTGATGACTCATGGCCTTCTAGTGTCTATTATATTAAAATTATTACTGAAAATGCGCACATGTATTGCCCGTAATCACTATACTTATGGAAATTCAGAACTTACTTTTAAACAAGAAAGTTCCGTCAGCGACCAAAGTTTTATTGTACAGTCCGCCGACGTCGTCAAAAGTACTTGATCTATCGGAGAAAATCTCACGCACCAAACGCCTCTCTTGTGACCGTGAAATACCCCTAGTAATTGTAGATCATTGGCTGACCATAGCTGCAGGATATCGTGAAAAAATATTCTTAAATGTACTATTACAACTCACAACAGAATATTATTTCTACACCTTTTTAAATTTTACTTATCGCACTTTTGCTGTTTTATCTTGCGACCCCGTTGCGATTAATTTGTCATTTGGCGACACAGTTACACTATTGATATCTTTTCGATGAGCTAATACAGTGTGAACTACATCCAGGGAATGTTTCTCTGCAATTATGAAATATTTGCTATGTCGTTTAAGTAAATGAAACAACAATATTCAAAACCATCATCTTTACCATCGAATTGGAAGTTTTCTGGTAAATTCCACAGCTTAAGGCATGAATCTTGACTAACAGAAGCGAAGAACTTGCAAGATGTTTGTGAAATTGCAATCGAACCAACGGACGCAGTATGCCTAATAGCCGATGCGAGGCGGGATACTTCGAAAGTTTCCTTATTCATGTACCACACGCAGATACTGTTATCCTGTAAATATATATATATACACATATAATCTTGTAATCTTATAGGATATGCGCCAGCCAAGTGCGCTATACAGACAGAAGAAACTCACCTTTGCCGATGAAAGAAATAGGTTGACATCAGCAGGTGTTGTCGCAAGAGATAGTACAATGTCCGTATGTCCACGCAACAACTTACAGTTCATACTTGATAGATCGTACAATTTTATATCCCAACTATTAGTAGCAACAGCTACGCGACTTCCATTTTCTCCAATGTATACAATATCTAAAATTTCATCACTGTAACCCACTAACTGTAAAAATGTTCAAGTTTTCTTAGTTACTACAAACGTTACGAATGTGTGTTAGAAAATAATAACATACCTGTTTAATGCACTCAAATGTTTCTAAAGAATAAATAATTATATTGTGATCGACAGTGACAACAGCAAAAGTATTACTATTCGTATTGTAAAGCAAATGTGTAATAGAAAGATTTTCTTCTTCTTTTGTTATCGACACGATAGAATTTTGTTGCGCGTATACTTGTCTTCCGGTTTTCATTTCCCAAATTTTCACAGTACCTACAGCAAATAAAATCATTAAGAATACAACACATACTTATTCACAATATTAGTAGAACTTGGTTTCTGTGATGTTACTAAAATTCCACAAACCTATTCTTCCCGCAGCAGCAACATAAATGGTATCATTTTCGAATTTGTTGGGAGGCACTGTCGGTAACGATACGTTTTTAGGTATAATAAATGCACCTTCTATTTCTTCGTAAACAGGTAAAACACGAATTGACGATTCAGCGAAAATATCCCATAAGATTAACACCTTATCCCTTCCCGAGCTACATAAAAACAGAGCGATTACACGTATATAAACAGAGCGCATTTCTTTGTAAATATAATATATTGTGTAATTTCATTGTATCACCTGATTAAGTAATCTCCACTATCGTGAAACGATAAAGATGTAATTTTACTGAAATGACCGGAGAGAGTAATTTCTTTTTTACCAGACGATATATTCCATCCATAAATTTTTAAATCTTCACCAGCGGCAAAGAGAAGATCTTTTTGAACGCACGGATGAAAGCCTAAAACACTGAAATTACGTCAATCGATATTATAATCCCTGAAAAGTTTAAAGGAATCTTCCGATGTAGGGGCTTTAATCTCCGTATCGTATTGTCGCGCTAAGCAAGACGGAGGTTTAAAATATCATACCTGATAACTCCTTGAGCTCCTCTCAGATTATGAATACAAGTGTGACGATGCAAGTCCCACAATTTAATAGTACCATCACTGCCCCCCGACGCCAATAAATTCTTCTCATTACAATAAGCAATACACGCTACAGGTCCATTGTGAATGGATTTCCACATTTTGATCAATTTATTCTCTGAAATAACAACGCACGGTTCATATTATCATGCGATGAGATATCTGAATAGAACCAATGTTTTCAATATTACAGAGACGCGGGAGAGTTTGAAAAACCTCGGCAAATCGGTTCATACGCGTGTGCGTGTTGCATACAAGTCTACTATGTAAAGGTTGTAGGTGATTTTCAATGGAGACGATACATGCGACGATCAATTTAATTTCTATATTTTTCTTGTTGCATATTCTTTGTGCGATATTTGAAAATTGTTCCATTTCCAATTCCTTTACAGTACGTTTATAATAGATTGAACAGAATAAGGGCATCGAAAGTGCTCTTAAACTAAATTAAATCAGAAATGAATTTAGCTTACAGAATGGACGGGGCTGACAGAAACAAAAGGTTTCAACCATCTATCGCATAGCGTAATTACCTTTCCAATTCCATAATTTGAAAAGACCACTTTTATGATGCGTTATTATATTCGCATCATTGTCACTCACGATAAACAAATTGATCGGATCCTCTTCTTTGTTACCACTTATTTCTTGTAAGCATGATATTATTGGTGTGCAATTTTTCAAAGATATAACAGAAACAGTGCCATGCTTCTGGCAAAATATGTATTCCCCATTGGTACTCCACTGTAACAGAAATATCTGTAATCTTTTATCCGAAGCATAAATAAAGGTAACATTCGAGTAACATACCTGAACAATTCCACCCGTGTAAAATGGTCCGTACCTCGATTGAACGGTATATCTGTAATTCAATAGGAACAAATAAACATGTATTTACTACCTGTACCGACTACAACGCGAAATATCTGACGTTCTCGAAAATAAATGAAAGAAAAGTTACGTTTTTCAAGTTGGATATTTCTAATGAATGAAAAGATGATTTTGAGGAGACAGTGAAATAGTTGAATAACTTACGCTTCCTTTAAAAGAACGTTACTCATTTTTCTGCAACTGTTATAAACACATTCTGGTAAGTTTCCTAACCGTTAAATCTCTCGATCGACGCACGTGTCCGGAATGAAAACAGCGTGAAACTAAATGCGAATGTAGCTCTCGAAATATGGTATTTTCTTAACACGACGCGAACACCCTCTTCCGAGACGTGTTAATACTAGAGAACAATCAGTAGCGGGTATTTGAAAATTGTCCGTAATTCCAACTTATCGACGATGCGTCTCTCGCGTAAGCAATATTCGAACGATGAATGAAAATTGGAAGCTATCGTAGACGGATCGTAATCCGTAAATACGATGAGCCACCCGCTATAACAACTATGATCATAATTTTCCAGTAATTCTCTATTTATTGATCCTCTCTCTCTCTCTCTCTCCCTCTCTCTCTTTTCGATAATTTGGGAAACGTGGAAAAGCCAGAACATGTCGGTTGTTCTTTTCCCGTTGCAGATTCCTGCGAACAATAGTACAATTACCGGGAAAATGATGCGTCGAGTTTGCTAGAAACGAGCTACTTTCGGTATGGAACGGTATAATATTTAAAATGCTAATCTATAGTTGACTACAGCATGCATTTATTGTTTGTTCTACCGGCTTGTGTTCCCTATCATATGCAAACGCCTGAATGTCACATTGTAAAAGAATGGTGAGTGGGAGAAATAGCTGGGTAATGTCTGGTTTCCAGCGAATTAGTCTGAATTTGTTAGTGAAACGGTGACGATGGAACTCGAAACGCTTTCAAGGAGGAACAATCAAACGTTCCGAATTCTCCTTTATTTCATACAAATATTACACCTAACTTCATCTACGCTGTAAGTTACGTTCTTATTCGAAATCCACGTGACTCGTCGACGCTTCAAACTCTGTAACTAACACGACACACGTGACCTTTCAATAAGCATTGCAACTTTATTATAATTGTTCGTATTGCTCGAGAAAACAACATTGAATTCAATTGAAAAACAAAATGAAACTGCTTCTATAGAAAAATGAATCGACTTCTATTAATAGGTTACGCTCAATGAATAGTTTTAATCTGCTTATCGTTGGAAATAAGTTAATTTAACGATGGATATTTTTGTTCGAATGAACAATTGTTCAATGATATACTTGTATTTTGCGGAATAACGGCATTTCCCTGATACTGTTTCAAACGAAGCCGAAAGAGCACTACTGCTTCTGTATATGTACTATAGATGGAAAAAGGAAAGAGAATTCCGTTTTCTGTTATGATATACAATCCTAAGAAGATAACTCGTACAAACACCTGGGTATGTTTGATCGTATAAATTACTGTGTTTAGGTAGATAAGACGAAGATATTGAAATTAGTAGTCTCTTCTTATGGTTTTCAAACGAATGTGCACGTGATCGAACAAACATTCCGAGTATATAGTTTTCATATTGGTAATTTTATATTTACATATCGAATTTACATGTAGAAAATCGAGGCGCATCATTTCAATTGTCACGAGAAACGAAGAGTATTTGTCGATAAGCAACACGCAGCCCCTTAAAAACTGAATCGTAACGAAATTGCCAAAGTATTGTAGTATTTATTTCGCTCGTTTCTATCACTGTGTGTTGGGACTGGAACTACATGTATACTTATCAAATACCGCGTGTATACTTTCCGCGCCAAAAGCGAAAAGCGAAGAACGGAGAACGGATAGCATTTTCTTAACGCGCGATTAAATTCGCTGCAACGATTCCTCTCGAAATCTAAAATGCCCTAAAATGGAAATCAGCATCAAGACCATCGATGTTTCCGTAAATTCGGTTACTAGAATTTCAATCAACGCAGACCCGTGACAAACAGAGTCGACCGTTCAACGACATTTTCATTTCCTGCAGCCCTTGCATTACATAATGTATATGTATCTTGTTCTCGCCAACTGGAATACGATCGAGCAGATGATGATCTTTCGCGATGCGAACATTCGTGTGCACGGTATAAAGCGACTGCATAATTACCTCTATTCGGTAATGACTGAAACATTCATTCGGGACTGTTCTTTCGACGCGACGTGTTCTTTTAGATTAACGTTACCAGAGGTTAATCGGAGGCTTTGCAGGCCCGTGAAATTCAAACGTACCAACTACGTAACAAAGACGCTAGCACTATGTTCTAATTGTTTTAACATTGTTTGCATTTACCTTTCGTAGATTAGAAAGTTGTCCAAAGTTAAGCAGCAGTAATTCCATGACACAGACCGAACTGTTGCAAGAGTTAACGAACAATTGTCGTTACGATAAAATGGCTAGACCGTCGGGAGAAGCGAATGCCACAGACCCGATTAAAGTCTACACCAGAGCTTATATTTATACAATTAAATCGAACATGGCCAAGACATTGGTAATTTAAGTATAGTAATTGTTCATTTGTTCCTGAAAATAGCGTATAAACGGTACGATACAAATCTGCGCACGTACATCCATCGATCTATCTATCTATATTCAACACTGTGATTACAGCAATTCGATGTTCGCATGATACTGCAATTTCGATATTTGGACAGTAGATTAAAATTCTCAGATATCGCTCCGCATTTGAAGCAAGTATACGGCGGGCAATTTGTACACGATCTAATATGGACACCGACCGTTTACGTTGCCGACGAACGTAGCTCGGCTCTAATGGGGAACACCGTTAAAGATCTACTTGTTTCCATCGATCCGACAGGAACGATCATCTTGAACACCAGGTTTGTAACCGAGATCGAAAACGCGTTCCGTCTTTCAAACTTACTCGGTAAAGAACAACGCGCAATCTTCTTCTTCTCCGTTTCGTTATTGTCGCAGGTTACAAGTAACTCTGAATTGTGGTCTACGGCTGGAAAAATTCCCGTTCGACGTGCAAGAATGCCCGCTCATTTTTGAAAGCTGTACGATCTTATTGTTGTTGTACTACTACAATGTCAGCTATTTTACTCGACACTGTTCCTACGAATCAATGGAATTTTTCTCTGCAGGGACACACAATATGCATGACATGGTACTGCTTTGGGATCAAGAACCAATAGTACTTGCAGATGAATTGCATTTAACCGAATACAAGCTCGTCGACAAGTGGGTGAATACATCGGAAGTGTTTTACACCTCGTCGGAACAACATTACGGTCATTTCGGTACTCGCGCGTATACTTGTTCACTCAACTTTGCCCGACAACCGACAATCGTTTCGTTCAAAATACCCGATTTTTACGTCCACAGCCGGCAACTTCAGTTCAATTAGTATCACGTTCAAGCTCGCGCGTGAAATGGGATTCTTCATGATGGATTACTACATTCCGTCTATTCTAATAGTCGTGATTTCTTGGGTGTCCTTTTGGCTGCACATGGACGCGAGTCCGCCGCGAATAGTTTTAGGTAGTTTTCTGCCTTTTCGCTATACGCGTGTACACTTGTGTATATCGTGTACACGGTAACACACGGTCATTTATATTTTTCTAGGGACAAACACCATTCTGACGTTCATGACTCTTGCGTCGAAAGTCGAGAATTCTTTGCCAAAGGTTTCTTACATAAAAGCCAGTGAAATTTGGTTTTTAGGTTGCACCATATTTTTATTTGCAGCAATGGTTGAATTTGCTTTCGTCAATACAATTTACAGACGAAAGTACGCTATCCTTCTTCTATGTTGGATCTCACGTGTCTACATTACATGTCACGCGCCTAACAAACTCTGCATATTTCCGCAGGAAGAATGTGCCTTTGAAAAAGGTGAACAGCAAGTACATTTTGAAATCAACCTTGACACCGAAACTGGCGCGGAAGCAATTCCAAAAAAATGCTACGGGTTTAGAACGATCGCGTTCATGGTCGTCGCTCGATAACGCAAACAGTATCGAGCAAGATTACTCTAGCCAAAATTACCTCACCGTCCACGTGAGTTGTTGCATGTGTCCCAGCTAATAGACACAATAATTTACACACCTGCATAGTACTTGTACGACTCTATTACTTTACTACTTTTCTATTACAGAGTTTCCCGAGCACGCTCAACATACCTTCCGTGAAAATTGATCAAGACAAAGATCAAGAATGTTCGGTCGGAAGCATCGTGACCGTGAATACTACACCGCCGCCGAAACCTTTCTCGAGAAGAGCAACGCTAGCTCAGTTACATAATTTCACAACAATGACTCCACAAGAAATTGCCCAATGGATCGACAGACGCAGCAGAATCGTATTTCCCATTGCTTTTATTATATTCAACATTTTCTATTGGTCTTTTATCTGGATTTAATAGATCGAATCATTGAAAAGTACAACAATTTCTCTCGCTAATCACACGTAACATCGAATATTTATGCAGCGATCGATCACTTTTAAATCCCAAGGATCAACGACTGTTCAGCTCGCCAGGCATAATAATCCATTAATTATACAGAGACTTGTATGCAATAGCAATTTTTATTAATTTTCATAAATTACAATAAATACATTTCTTTCAAAAACATTTATCGAAAATAAAATCAACGTGAAATACCCATCCAATACATTCTCTCATGAAAAATTGGTTAAAATTGTAAAAACATTTCTTTAAATATCATCCGATCAAGTGTATGCATGGAATTATGTACGTATATATACTTACATAAATATAGAATAGTAACAATTCGTGGAATGTATTATTTTGTACGACACTTATTCTTCGCTTAACTTACAGAAAGCCAGTAATCATTAAAATAACAACATCGATTTTCTTTTCGTGGAATAAGCTTTCAAATACGCACACATCTCTGATGGGATATGAAAGCCAGCACCTGAAGAATATCTCTCTCCTTGTTTCTGAACCAATCTCTTCGAACGTACAATATTTCTTGTCAGCATCGCTCTCTGCCGATAGGCGAGAAATATATTGAAATATACAAGAATGATCCAAGAAATCATTTTCTCTAGAAATGTATTTATACTCGACGAGGTTTAAGCCAAAACTCGGACTCGTAGCGCTCGCGCGCTTCGTTCCTTCAGGTACAAATTTTCAAATTCCACCGATAAATTATTCGCGACTTAAATCGCAAATACGTACATACGTATACGACGTATATTCGCAAGGCTGTTTAGACAAAATATAAACATCTTTCATTTACTAGTTCCTGTGTGTAGAACGATTAATTACGGAAACGTCTAACCGCTTCGCGGTAAGAGAGAAATCGAGTGTTTCCGAATTTTCAAAGTTCACAGGAATATTCTAATCCTAAAAACCCAATTTTCTACTAAACAATATAGTATAGCACACGTACATATTTATGTATGCATATGCATCTTTTTTACAATATATTATTATCACTACATTAAGATATTTCAGATATTTGAAAGTCATAAAGACAATCTTTATGTGCGAAACTTTACATAAACCGACGATTCACACTGACGACGAGTAATGCTCTAGTTTTTTCAAAGAAATCATTCATTTCTCGTCGTTACGTTTAAGCGTTATGCGTTAGTGTATAGGCGCGATTCGCTATATCAAGTTCAAGCTGGTACAAATCCGTATATACATCACGATAAACATATACGCGTAGCCATAATAATAATTTCAATGCAATATTTCTTGCAAATTTCTATCCAGAGTGTACCAAATACTCTTCTCTGACCGAACATACAAAAATACTCCATTTTGTCCATTAAGAAAATAATGAATATTTACGTTGTTGAGCTTTCAACTGGATAAAATCCAAAATTCGACCTCAATTGTTCCAAAAAGACAAAAGTGAGAATAGTCTGTGGAGCTAATCTGATAAATGCAGGTATATAACCCTAGAATAAGAAACATTAATAACTTTTTCAAATAAAATATCGTCTTGATCGTTCAGTTGCACACTCAAAATGAAAAGATCACAGTGTGTGTGTGCATAACGTTATGCGATTCGATCAACGTCTAGGATGTTGCATGAAAAAAAAAACAG